GGCACTGCCACTGCACTCTGGGACATACCTTGACAAGTGGCGGCCGTAATAGGTAAGGTAGGCAGTACTTCCCTGGACGAACTCTTTCACAAAGAGCTGTACTGCTAAACTTGGATAACGAAAATCCGTGGTAGTGACCCTTTCAGCTGTTGCCGGTTGTCTTGATTTATAATGTTTGAAATAAAAATTATAAATGACATATGTACAAAATGTTTATTTAGAAATAGCAACCCCTAGAGTTTATTGTTCATGCTTTTCAGGGGGATCTGCCTTAGGAATGAGCTAATAATATTTATTTCATTCATATACACATACAGTTAAATCAAAAACAGTAGGTACGTTACTTAAAAAAACTTGTTTATTATAATTTATTATTATTTTATTATAAGGCCAGGCCGGGAAAAATATTTGTATGGCCTACATCTATTTCTCTCGTGAGTTTGGGTGCAATTTCTGTTTGTCTACGTGTGTCCATGGCATCCGCGACACAGGATTTTCCCAGTGCTATGAGTGTGTGCGTTATTATAATTTCCATGATTGTACATACGTGCTACTTATATAAAATGTTTAAAACTCCTGAATCCCAAAAGGGTTAAAAGTTAATCGATATGACAATTTCAAGCGTGATTTGCTTACCCATGAAATAAACATTATTTTTTAACTCCTTCAGCAACGGAATAAAGTCCGTGAATGTGTAGCTTGATATGTTGTCGTCCGTAAATACGAGTCGTTTTGAGACAAACACGTGTAATTTTGGCTGGATTTATTTATTTATTGTTATTTTAAGTTATAATTTTTTGAGTAAGGGTGCACGGAGAAACTTCCTTGTTCTGAAGTACGTTTATAAAATATAAGTCATTGAATAGACGTTCTAAAATAATTGCACAAACCTATATTTCTATTTGTGAAAAGATAAAACAAAAGATAAATAACTTAATGTGTGCTCACTCACTCAACCGTGACCATGGGGCCTGTGAAGGGCCCGAAACGTTGGTTTGTTTGAAAAAACAAATATGTATACGCGATTTAAATCCGGAAAAATAGTTTCATTTCCTAAGTTAATACTTAGGAATTAATATTAGGGGTTAAACATTGACTTACAAATAAATGGACGACGGGTCTAATACAAAAACCACGAAAAAAATGTCCCAAGTCCACCTATTCGAAATTTAAATTGTAATGTCATCGCAGTATCGCGCTGTCAGTAGAACAAATGAAGACTAAAGCGGAGTGTCGCGCTCTGTATACGATTTTAGCGCCTTACAAATGCGGACACTTTTTAGCGCGGACCCGACGTCCATATAATTGTAAGTCAATGGGGTTAAAGCTTAGACTATTTTTTTTCCATCCTCTAAGGGTTAAAGTATGAAATTGCCGTTTTATTGCAATAGGTTCTTTGAATTTTCATAGAATCTTCATGGTTTGAGGTTTTCGAATGAAACTTTTTTCAAATGGTTTCTGTGATTTTTTTTTTTTTAAATTTGAAACATTTGAATATCGACTTTCAATTGTTTTTGTTATTCGATTTAGACAAGAAAGATGGATACTGCGAAAATTCGAGTGATTTTTGAATACGAGTTCCGACGCGGAACTAACGCGGCAGAAACAGCCCGCAATATCAATGCTGCGTTTGGAGAGGGGTCTACCAATGAACGCACCGTGCGATGTTGGTTTAAACGCTTTCGTGATGGAAATTTCGACTTAAAGAACGAGGCACGAGGAAGACCGCCCACACAGGTGAATAACGATGAATTAAGAGAGATAGTGGAAGCCGATCCTAGTCAAACTACCCAGGAATTAGCGGCATGGTTTAACGTTACCTTACCCACAATATTGACTCACTTGCGTCAAATCAATAAAATAAAAAAATACGAAAAATGGGTGCCTCATGATTTGACTGATCTGCAGAAAGAAACGCGTGTTGAAACTTGTGTTGCCTTGTTGAACCGGTACAGAAATGAAGGAATATTGGATCGAATTGTAACATGTGATGAAAAGTGGATTCTTTATGATAACCGGAAAAGAAAAATGCAATGGCTGACCCCAGGTCAAATGCCACAACAGTGTCCTAAAGCAAAACTTACCAATAAAAAGGTAATGGTAACTGTTTGGTGGTCTCAGCATGGTGTTATTCACTATAGTTTTCTCCGATCTGGTCAAGCAATAACGGCAGATGTCTATTGTGCCGAACTCCGAACCATGTTGACAAAACTAGCAGTAAAACAGCCCCGACTCATGAATCGATCTTCACCATTATTGCTCCACGACAACGCGAGACCTCACACAGCACGAGAAACCATTTTGACCCTTCAGGAACTGCAGTTAGAAACCATTCGTCATCCTCCGTATTCACCAGACCTTGCTCCAACGGACTACCATTTTTTTCGTGATTTGGACAATTATCTACGTGACAAGAAGTTTTCTTCCCAGGAGGCAGTACAAAATGCTTTCACACAGTTTGTGCAGTCTAGATCGTCGGAGTTCTATCGCAAAGGCATTAATAACCTTCCCATTAGATGGCAGCAATGTATAGATAATAATGGCAACTATTTTGATTAAATAAATTTGTTAAAAATTTAAAAAATAAACAATTTAGATTTTCAGTACAAATCGGCAATTTCATACTTTAACCCCTATTACTAAGAAGTTAATACTTTTTAAACTTAATAGTTTGCATGTAATTTTCGTGTACTAGTTCAGTTAAATTATCATCTTTACAGGTAGAATGTAACAAGATAAAGTTTGATGACGTAGGATATTTATTTGATAACATAATCGTCACATTTTTACTTGCATTATTTGCTATTTATGAACTGTGTCGATGTATGAATTATAAAGAGTAAAACTGGGCAATAATTTCCTCAAAATACAGGCAATGTAAAGTAATGAAATTATATATAAAATGCCAATCGGATGGAGACGCTTCGACCATCACATTTTTGATACCCTTGAGCGTTGATACTTACGATAAAGATACAATTGCAGTAAAGAAAACTAAATAGCAATTAATATTTCATACATACGGAATTCAGCAAATTGTGTTTGTCACTTTGTCTGAAGAAATAATCTGACTTTGGAAACTTGATATTTTTTGTGGGGGCGTTAAAACGAAACGGTCAAAGTAAAAGGATATAAATTAAATAGTCGTCCATGTCACTCAAGGAAGTCAAGATATATGGACAGAAGCCAGGTAGTTAAGATTCTAAACAAAAATATGCGATAACGATTGAGATGTTAAAATTTTATTAGGACGTAACAAAGTGGAGCTAATTTACGTTCTTTTTGTATGAGATAAGAAGCGGTTTGACTTTGTTGACGAATGGCTTCTCGGTGAATGTGATAAATTATTGATACTTAGTCCTATGTGTTAAAATACATAACTGTAGAAAAAAGCTAAAACAATACAATATAAGGCGCACCAAACTACGAGTATTTGATTACCTGATTTTGGGGGCCGTCCTTTAAATATATATCACCCGTCACTAAACTTTTTATTAAAAAAAACTACACTAAAGAGGCTTCTAGCCATTACTTACAGTGCCTTTCTGTTTTCCTAATTCATGGTTGCACAACAATAGTGCTGTAAAGACATTTCGAGATAGCTACCACGTATCGGCGACAGATAAATCAAATGCAACCTCTACTTGCCGACACTATAATAACCATGATACCACAGCAAGGAAACGCATCCAGCAACTTTATTAACTAAACAGCAACGTGTAACTCAGTTTACTGTTACATAAACTTACCCGAGATTAGAAATGGGACGTAGTCTGAACTTTATACTTATCTCTTGAATCTCTACACTGATTTATTTGTAGAACCGATGGTCTAGCGGCAACTTTATCGCGTCACTTATCTTAATTTTGTTAGAATTGGAATCTGCAAAATCTGTTTCGCTATGAAACGTGACCAGAATTGACGCGATTTTAAAAAATGGGGAAATTTTAATGGCACTTTTAAGCTAAACTTATTCGTAGAATTATTCTTCAAACAACCAAATTAATGTAACTTCTAAAAATACTTCCTTCGATAGATGAATTTTTTAGCTATCTACAATGGAGTACAATTCAAAAACAACAAACCCGATGCTTCTTCCAAATAGGCCAAGTTACTTAAAATAGCCATAATCACGTGCACGTTATTTTTAGAGATACAAAACAGTAATAAAACTGTACAATTATCCGAAAACAACCAGAACGGATTTTTCCACGGAGCATTTCGTAAAGACACACTAAAGGGCATCGGCACAGGTGAATCTCCGCCGCAATGTTAATATAAATTGACATTTAGTTAAACGATTTTTTTCTTAAAGTGAATCTTTGAGAACTACACATAAATATTAATTAAACCTAAAAATGTAAACATTTTGAAAACCAAACCAAAATTGCTTACTTGTTGCAGAGCCTTCTCAATGCATAGCACGCGTGTGTAGGTACCTACCGCATACCCAACCTTTTTTTATTTAGAGCAGCTACAGTACCCGCACTATTGTGGTCCAAATTGAAGGAAGAAGTCAGCGCAATGACAGTGAGGTTTCACATCCCGTAGCAGTACTGTACTTTGCACAAATATCTATCAAAAGCATAACAGATCTGTGTAAGTCTTGAATTTTGACCTTTTACATGACCTTAAAGATGCTTACGATCAAGCAAGTGGAGTTCACTTGCTTGATCGTAAGCATGTTTATGAGCTTTCCCTTCACCAAAAAGTTAGATAAACGACAATGCACCAGCAGTTGTCATATGCGCCCAAACTAAGGCCGACTTAGATACCATCAAGCACGCGCCTCCTATGCTTTGATGTACATTACGTGAGCCACCAATTTCACCATAATTAGACTCGTTCTCATGACATTCCATCGATAACTTGGCAAGTGAAATAAATACACAATCATAATGCCACAGACAATTTTAAGTTCATAAAACAACATACTAAATTTCATAAAGCAGGTACAGCATAACTTCAAGAGCATTATTTTTTATCTTATTGTAGAGCCAACATGAGAGAATCAGTATTTTTTTTTCATTTTTACAATAGTAAATAAATACTCAAGATATACATAAACGCATATACAGCTGACTGGCAAAATCACACAATACATCTTCAATATTTTTGATGATGTTCATGCGATTAAACTCGTAAAAGTGAAATTTATGTATACAAGGTAAAAAAATACTGTGTTTTACAATATTTATGCATCCGTGTAAAACAAACCAAAATTGCCTAATGTCAGTAGTCATATTTAAAATCGTATGACGCATCCGAATCTCTTCTGCCCTTTTTACTGCTGGTAGTTCCGCTATCACATCGTTCTGTTCCCCAATCGTCTGATCCTTCTGCACTACTCCTACTTTGTTTCCTTTTACTCTTCCTCTTAAACTTGCCCCTGGTACTAACTTGACGGTCACTTGCATTTGCATAGCAATAAGATCTATGATCATAACTACGTACACCTTCTATGGGTTTTAATTCCGTGACGTTACGTAAATCGGGTGGTGGCGCCAAAGTACCTAATAGATCTGCTATGTAATTTTCTCTCTCGATTTTGTAACCCCGCGCTTTTTCAAATTCTGGAAGCAATGAAATCACACTATGAAGATACAAGTTGAAACTTAATATTTTCAAGTAGGTAGGTTACTAAAATAACGATTTTGTATCAACCCCATGCAGGTAACGTTACACTATATTTTTTTCTATCATATTTGCATTGGCTAATACTTCACCTTAACCAATTACTACCACTGTTACGATACGATTATGTAATTGGAATAGTTATAATTACTAATGTACACTCACTTTTGACAGCATCCTTCGCAAGTATATTGAGTCGATCCCTCATATATCTACAGACCATGTAGCCTGTTCGATTCAAGCCGTGGGTGCAATGGACGCCGACTAGGAACTCTGTAACAAACACATTGTGATGATTAATTATGCAAGAAACAGTAAATGTATGAAGAGTATTATGACTGAATATTTCCAAAATATTATTTAAATATTTCGGGATTCAAAACTATAAACAAGTAAAGCGCTTCATAAATATTTTTTTAGATCAGAAATTGGCAGAAATTTAAAATCTAATCGTACGAATAACTAAACTATTTTCTATGTAATTTCGACACAAGCAAACTAGATACATATCTACTTAGTAGGTTGTAATGTAAAAAAATTGCTCTATTAAATTGCAGTCTGTGCTATTCAAAATGTTCTTATAAATGAAGCCATTACAAAACAAGACATAATAACAAAAATAAAAAAGCGTAATCGAATTACAAGACAAAGAACGGCGGGATCGATGGGGAAACCACTAAAGCGGTCCACGGAAAATAAACGAAAACCTCATGTTTGCGTCTTCAAAATCGCACCGCAAACATCGGGTGAGATCGTTGACCTCCCCCGTCACACCCCTTCATACGGGTGTGAGGTAGGTGGAGAGGGTGGTAGGAAATCGCGGCCGTGGTTTGACACTTCCTCAGGAAGACCTTTGAGGTAACAGGAAAGATACTGAACTGCAGTGGGAGTCCTTTAAACGTTTTTTGTACTGATAGTTTACAAACGATCTTGTTAGAATGTTATTGACAAAACAGATCATAGCACGCTTTCAAGAGATATCAGATCAACTAGTATGTTTAATGGTTTTATTTAAATGCTTATACAAATAAAATACAAGAGCATATGTAACCGCTAATTGGATTCTATGATAAACATTTCTAAATAAAATCGGCGCCTAGCATGAGACAAAAATGGAACAAAAATGGTCGAAGCGAAATTCTCACGGAGCCAAGAGGTGCATTTGAGGCATTACTATGCACATATGCATGCCAACTCGGTTAAAAAAAAAACCTCCACAATCCATCAAGAGCCTTTCGTCGGCAACTCAATTAACGAACACAAGTACATTTTCAATTACCTATAACAACAAACAATGGTAATTATAATTGAAAGAATGCAATGCTTTGCAATAACTCTGAGCGAATATTTAAGTTGATTAAGATTATAAATACCATTTCAGTTTTGTTGTAATATTTACTTTTTAAAGGTTAATTTTTATAACACAATGGCAAAAAAGCCCAAATAATAAAACACATAGTCAATATTAAACAGTAGGTAACTTATTCACGAACAAATTTTATTATAATACAATAAGTTAATACATGTCACTAATTAGCATAGAAAGCACGCATTCCCGATGCAACTTGTAATAAACTCGATTGAAAATAAACATAACACTGGTAAGTCAGCGGACTGGCTCGAACCAACAGACAAAAGGTATCAAAAGAAGGCGTACACCAATCACTACAACGATATTCGTGATGCATTTCATTATTGCGTAATACGAGGACCCGACATAGAACCATAAAAAATCAGATATGGCGCCTGAAAAGAAGAAAATAAATACGTCGTGTTAAGAACGATAAAAACCTTTAACAACACAAAGATAGCGCTAAAACGTTTTTTAAGCAAAAGTCGTTTGCTACCCATATTTTTTAACAAACGGCTATTAGCGTAAAATCATTGACGTCACTTATGTCCTAAACATATTTTCACATGATCAGTGAACAAATATTGATATAATGAATAGTGTGAAAGATAACTTTATAAAAGCGAAATTATTTCAAAGCAAATTGTTAGTAGGACATCAATGTATGAAATCAATATGAAGTAAAATGCTTGCAATTAAGATATTCCATTTATATTCTGCCTGTAGAACATACAACAGCATTGTTCAGAATATTTACGATTTCTTCCGAAATCGGAAATACCTATCTATCAGGTCATAAATTCTATAGGTTCTTCCAAAGTTGCATTCAGTTACATTCTTGTCGCATCAATGGTTGAATAGGTGTGTGCATCGCAGATCGATAGTCGACAATCGACATTGTGTCGACTCGATATCGATACTCGCCTACGCGCAAACCTCTTGCATCATAATCGGCTTATTAGGATTTTACCACACGCATTCGGTCGCTATGATATGGTTGTACCGATGTTAGTTTCGATCTAAATCGTATTAATTACCCTTTGAGAGTAAACTACTAGGTCGCTACTAAAGTATTTACGTAATTTAAATGGCCGCAAAGACCAAATTAATTACAACCGCTGAACACGATTTCGAATCATCGGATACTATGATTAGTAATCGCTTAATAACCGTAAGTGAAAAGAATGTAGATAACATATTCTTTAATACAGTCGCTCAAAACGTAGTATTTTTCGTACTACAAATCGTGCCGAAAGTTGGATTTTTCACACTAGTGCTTTTTACTTTCCATTTTTTTTATTTACTGATGTTTCAAGTCTTAAACATAGAACTAAAGAGGTTGTATATTGTATATTATTTAATATTTATGTGCTTTGTGACGTAAGTCATTCGTCATTAAAACTTATATTTACTTACAAACATCTTATTTGTTTAAATTGCATAGGTGTTTTATAAAACAACGGGTTACATTTAAAAATACCAAAGTATTTTCCATAAAAATGGCTGATTGAGTATTAACAATGACCGAGGTGAATATTACGCTAAAATAGTGATTTTAATGTGGCTGAATACTGGCAACAGTTGCCATTGTAGTCTGAATTTTTATCAGACAAAGAAATAAAATGAGTTTTTTTTAATAATGTTTTATTTTACTTTCAACGTAGTTTTTTCGCAAATGTATTAAAAAACGTCGTTTGATACACGTGCGGATTTGTCATTTTTACTTGTCTCGAGACTCGTGAATAATGACTAACTTTCCGCACTTGTATCAAAAATAAGTATTAATATCAATTTTAAGAAAAAGAAGTTGCTATAAGGTATATATTATAATTTACTATCTTGTTTTTAAGTAGCTGCAATTAACACAAGTTTCTTATCACCAAAAGGGATCGTTGATTTATTTAGACTCTACGAGTAGACAGAGCAGTTCAAAACCTTTGTTAGTGCAACAAAAGTGCAACTTTGTCTTGAGAATAAACTGCTCAGAAAGCGATATATCCAGCTTTCATATCAACAAAGTTGGAAACTTTTGAGAAAACTCATTTTGCGTGACGTCAGCTCAATAATTTTAAGAAATCTTAGTTTATTGCGCAGTGTTTTCTTCGGTATGTAAGTGTGTTTGTGATCGAGGCGTCTGTAATATAAAAATCCTATACTTTAAAAGCAATATAAATTATCTTCCTATGATTTGCCAAAATGGTTAAATCATTTTTTAAATTAAAACGTCATGGTAAAAAATAATTAGAATAAAAACTAAACATAAAATTCATAATCAAAATAAACAAAAAATTATATCAATGAATACCAGAAACGATATTTAAATATTGTTAAATATCGATGTGGCATCGAGTGGCAAGTCATCCGTCTATAACGAGAATATAAATTCATACGTCAATCGTGATGCGACACATTCTGCGAGTAGAATTCAAAAAAGACTGTTCGGATGATTTTAAAATTTGTTTAGTTGTCTATTATTGTAATGACACTGATAGGTTTTTAGCCTCCTCGCACAAGTAGACTTTCTTAAGGATTAAGAATGAGTTACTTGAGTTAATTGTTTTCGAACTTACGTAACACCTATGGATCACTGTTATTATACACTAAGCACTCACGTAATATAGACTTCGAAAGATATGATAATTTCCAGTTCAAATAAGTACGCTCATCACTATTATTGCAAACATGAAATATCAATATTCAATAAAACATAACTTTATCACCTATAGACATTTACGCGAGAAATCGATGTCGCGTGAATACTAAAACAGAATATTGATACGATACTGCTAATGTGTGACATTTAAATGTCTACTTATGTGCTTGGGTTCACTAATTTAAAAATATTTCCATCGCACAAAGTAGTTATGAAAGTGGAATAATTTTTTGTTACAAACAATTGGAATATAGGGTTTAATTAATTCAATAAAAAAGTGCTTGTATTTGTTTACACTGAAAACCACATTCCGATTGTCTAAACATGTAAACGTCGCAACACCTTTTCAGATGTTGATCGAAATGCACATTGTCACCATTAAACGGCAAAATCTAAAAGTTCTAATATATATATAGTCGTTTTGTAACGTGCTACCAGCCAACAACGTAAAGAGCATCTGGTGGCTTTTGATATTGTCTTACCAACTCAGCATTGCCGTTTAAATCACCGTTTTTACTAATCATCCGTCAAACTTATGAAAACCAATTAGTTTAAATAGTGGGTTAAATAGCAAGACTGAGCCGGAAGGACAGGCCACAGAGTTGTTTTTCAGATATTTATTGTACAATTTGCTTTCAAAATTGTTAATACAAAATGTAGCATGCATGTAAAACTTTAATCCAAACACCGCAGTACGTGTGCGAATATGGTAACCAGTAGCAAGTGTTCCTACACGGTGTCGTGTAAATCGGGACGCGAGCGCGATCCGCCTGCGATAATCCGTGAAATATGTATATCGTCCCATTATTGCTCCGACATGTTATCCGTGTCTTTTATTTGTCCTGACGCCTTCACAAGAGCTACAACAACGCAGTTTGAAATTAAAACTGTTATTTTGTAGAAAGTCAATAAACAGAACATCGACAATGAAGAATTAAAGTAAGAAAGAGAAAGACTGTTAGGAATACTGGAATTTAGAAAGGATGACAATGTACTAGCATTTTGTGTTATTAAATTCACAGTTTAGTATAAAATCTCGGTACTTTAAAACGCATCAAAAAATACTAACAAAATATTTAAAACTACAGTATTTTAGAAAGGAACACACGGTCTTCCAAAATCCCGCACGAATCTGGCGCTACGCATGAGAAACCAGTTTCGTATTATATACATCTCACTCAATCTACTTAGCGACACCGATAACCCGCCATTACCAATGAAAATGCCGACTGATACTAGCATTGCTCGCTTACAATTAATTGAAACTGCCCACGTAATCTAATAAAAGCTAGTTTTGATGATCGGGACAAACAAGGGCGCCCATTCGTAATTAGAACTTAATGAACACCGAATATTGAGTTGGGCACCGTGAGAAGTTTGTCGATAACTACGATTTGTGTCACTGTAATTAAAAGTGTAGCTGCCGATAAACTCGGACATGCGGACCGAACCTGCTAGTTTTGACTCCTATGAGTTATTAAATAACCATTTCCGCTAGCTCTACCGCGCCGCCCTAATCTGAACGCTCACCAGCCTATACACCAGACTAAGTAGGCGACTTTATAGTTCTCTAAATTTTGGTTTTGCTACACATTCCTCGTTTATATCGAAGCGGTCTTTAATTGAAATCGTATGTTGTGTTCAGCGTCATTGATAAGGCCATTATACGATTTCGTTGACGATTAAACAAAGTAATCCGAAGTTGCAAAACGGAACGTGATAAAAATTCATTATTCAGCTCTGGTTACAAATAAGAACAAATGTAACGCAATACAAAATATACTTTAATGTCATAATTTTCAATGAATTACGCAACACCGTAATACGAAATACGGGTATAATTTTTACGGACAAGTTTACAATGCATTTCATGGGTAAGACGATATTTATGTGAATGTACCTACACAATGGAATAACTATTAGTGTCTATAAAGACCAGCGTGCTCTTTATGGTCTCGTAAAGTAATGCAATTAGGCAATGGGCATGCATTAACACCTCACCGCCTTCACCCACGCAGATTGGCGTACTATTCTAAGGCTTAACCGCACATTTACAGCCGACAGATCATCTTCCGCGAAACAGAACCTCGTTGATTCTACGACACTCTCTATATGTAAGCTATAAATGTAAACTGATCCCTAACACTAAGACCCGATCGAAAATTAAAAACTGCCCATTTATTTTTGTGAAAAGTTAAGTTTTGCTTTATATATTTAATATTTTAATAAAAACTACTGTAAACTAAGTGCCTTGAAAAGTTCTTAAATTTTAATTGTTTTAAATAAATACACGCCAGAAGCATATTGTGGGAGTAACATAAGAGGGTACAGAACACACTCACCTGTGGTCGACAAACCGAGTCGGGCTCTTTTTACTTGTACGGCCACTGAAGAGAAAACCACAACTCTAATAAAACGTTCTTTTGACGGCCCAGCAAGACCCTAGTACTGACCACGTGATGAAAATTCTACATATTCCATTTCATTATAAAGAAGGAACAATGGATACACTAACAGCCAGTAATGAATAGCTGGCGACAAAAGTTAGTGGTTTCTATCTTAAGCACAATAGTAATGAAAAATAAAAATTTTTTTTATTTTACTCGAAGTCCGCAAATGAGAAAACAAACAAACAAGCAAAGATATTTTCCTTAACTGTTGTATTTTAATATAAAGCCATCAGCAGTGTTTAAACAGAATGCCGTCTTTACCTTAAGCCCAAAAGTAACCAAACGCGCTAACACAATGCGCAAACGAAAATTTGACTCACCGCAATCTTTTCCCAGAAACTCGTCCATAGTGTCCATAAATCTGAAAGTAAAGGCAGCAAATTAATACAACCATAGTCGCCATATTTACACTTTACTTTTGAGCGACCACGCACTGTGCTATTTATCAATATTGGGCCATTATGTCTTACGATCACGTATAAATTTACGAACCTATACAAATAACACTCTAAAATCAATAATACTAAATCGTTGACCTATATTTCAGAAATTTTAATGTGGCTAATATATAATTTATAAAAACTCAACAGTTATGTAAAATGATACGTCACAACAGTTATTTAGCTATAAACATTTAATTGAATTTCACAAAAATCCGAAATCCATAGCATTCATCTCGACGGAAATGAAATATTATCATGTATCGATCGCAGCGTGTCGCCATTCTTTAATCGATTTTTTACACTTAAAACCATGGTCTGTAGGCGTTTTGAAATTACAAGGCGTTTCTACGGACAGGCCGGCTGCATTCTGCCAATTTAGTGAAATATGTTTGTTTTCATCGTAACGAATGCCTTTTGATATTTACTGAGAGGGTGCCGACAACCCTAACACTGTACTATTGGAATGTTTTCTAAAATAACTTAGTAGGGTGGTCTACCGATTCAAATAGGCTCGGAAATATCTCCCCTCTAAAATATAAACTCACCGAGCGAGATGCGATGACATCTTAAAGCCTATAGATGAATATTAGGTATTGTTGTGATGGTACAGTAGGAGGGTTGCCATGATTAAGTCTTGTCATGTAAAATGACGTTTAAAATACTTGGATAAGCGCCGTCATTTTCGAATTGCCCCTTGGGCTATGAACTTCGTGGCAAGGCGTCACAACCAGTTGCATCCGAACCGAATTTACAATTCAACCTATCGTTCGCATTAACATCTAAAACGGTTCAAATGAGCCCTTTGCTTAAATAAGATTCTCGTAAATTATTCAAATCTAAAACAGTAACTTTTAGATGAACGTTATTACGTATTTCAAACAGTGGCAATGAATTTAAATATGATTTTATTGCCATAGATATCAATAAAGGTCTATACGCTGTGATATCTAAACACGAACTTTAAAGTCGTAAGGATCACGACTTAAAAACTAAAATTGCCCGTGAAACTGGTAATCAACAATTGTATTCGTGCTCAAACAAACGATAGCAAACAATTTATGGAATTCTGATATTTTTACTCCAATAACGTTTACAAAACGAAACTACCCGCGACGTGTGGCGCCAGAGAGCAAACAATTTAATTATGCATAAAGTCACGATTCAACAGATTTTTAAGATTTAAGATGTTCTCATCGTTCTTGCGTACATAATAAATTTGGTTATGGTCGATTCTTCCCGGATTCGGACTTTCCGATATTTATAATTTAATTGTAGGTCAAGGTTCAGAAAATTTCTAAGAACAAATAAGCAAACTATTATGACGTTATTTCTCATTCTATAAATCTATTCAAACATAGGAAACGGTTTACTACGAATTCTGAGACATTATGTAAATAACGGTTTCTAAGGTCTCAACGAACAGTGTTTACGATACTTCTGACATGATGTGTCTGCATATCCATTCATCCACCTACACTGTTATATGATCTTGAAATCTTTTGTGTTATTTGCTAATAAAAAGGTCCAAAACCATTTCCAATTTAAAATGAGAGATACCGCGGCGGTAGATCAAGTAAACATTTTAAGTAGGAGGCATTTAACTCCGTACAGTTTTAACGGCCATAAAACACTTTATTGCTGGGCCCTTCCCTCAAGACATAGCGTGACGCGCAACTACTTTCCAAAATGATATTACTTATATACCAACCAATCAATTCTTTATCGATAGTTAACGTTAAAAATAGATTACTCTCAACGACTCTTTGTCGACTGTCTGTGACTGTTTGTGACTGTCTGTTTCTCGAAGTTTAGTGCCTTATATAATTCATCGGTTTAATTTCTCATTACAGTATAATTTTGGAAGTTTAAAGGGTAAATCACGTTAATTTGTTTAAAAAAATTGGATTCTGTCACGAACATTATGACATTTATTTCAAGTCTAGCACTTATACTTATTATAGTTATACTTATTATAATGCTATTATATATTTAACGTAACAAATAATATTTAAATTTAGTTTCAACGAGCCGCTTCCCACACCTTCTCATTTAACGTGTCATAAAACATTGCCCTACAAAATATGATCAAATAAAATCCACAAACAAGTTCAATATATCACATGCAAGGTCAACATGATCATTGAACGACTTTTAAACTGTTTGAATCAAACTTTCTAAGTATTTCCTGGCCTACACGGACGTTATTATTTAAAAACTGTCAAAACTGCGTATTTTATTACAAGGCGGGCACATCGAAGCAAGGTGAATTACATGCTTTCTTATTTAATATTAGCCGCGTCTTGCGTTTGTACCATAATTTATATCTAGCGGTGTTATCGGATCTGTGGATCGCTCCCGAGTTATAATCCGGGTATTTTTCAAGTGGCACGATGTCTGCCCCACAGACGGCGTTGCTGGAAAATTTATGTAACTACCAGGAGGCATCGCTGCAATTATTATTTCCCTTCCCAATATTTAAGACCGGAACGCACTAGGCGACTACCTCGCGTGATCGGAGCTTTATAGGATATCATATACCACACTCCGCGACCACGGAGCGGCGAGCGCAGTCACCCAATGCGAGTACAAGAAAAATCGAAGAATGCATAAGTTATTTTTACATGACAATAAACGATAAACTCCTTTCAAATAAGCTTATAAAATTTTGTAGCTTATAAAATGTCAAATTCACATAGCCGTTACAGGGCGCACAGTAACATAAAGCGTGCACATAAATTGTGCAATAATATTGTTGCAAATTAATTACTGATGTTTATTTATATGCCCATTTATTCGAGCTCACGTTTTTGTTTAATTAATCCAAAATTGAAATGTATTACAACCTTAATAAAATGTAATAATCAATGCAGGTACATTACGCAACAATTGAAAATTTACGCGAAGTTCTTAAACAAACAATGAAAAAGAAGTTTACATTTCAGAAGTATGTATATTATTTGATTTTCAATTCGGGACTTAATCACGTATTAAACATACTTTATTTACCTCGACGTTTCGGACATATTGCAACGTCTATGGTACATGGTATACCTGATTAAGTTCCGAATTAAAAATCAAATAATGTGTAAACATCGTGAAAGTTTAAATCAAAGTATGTATATTCATCACTAATAAAGTCCAAACAATATGAGTGACCATCGAGATATTCAAATTTGACAGATGCTTTCACAACACCCTCTAGACCTCACATAAGCGACGCAAGCGCATCCATCATGGTAGGAGCGCACATGTCGTCATGTCGGTGCACAACAAGCAACGAAAGTCCCCTAGAGATAATAGGCGACATTCTGATACGACGCCAGATAAGGACGAAGAAGGTTCCCATGAGATTCAGGGCGTAGGAACCTGCGCCATGAGGCCAGAGGTCAAACGTGGACAAAATACTTTGAAAACTACACTCTACATCCGGAACAAAGAGACAAGAGAATCCTTTTTTTTTTGTTTTGTTGCTAGCCACCCATTTTTACGTCCCACTTCTGGACACGAGTCTCCTCTCAGGCGCGGGTATTAGGCCATAATCCGCGACGCTGGCCCAATATGGCCGGGTTGGGTACTTCACACGTTTTCCGGCAATGGTGAACCTTCTTCGAAGTGCAGGTTTCATCACGATGTTTTCTTCCACCGAAAAGCTCATGGTAAATTTCAAATTAACTTTCGAGTCCGAATTCGAACCCACGACCTCTGCTTGGGAGGCGGTATGTCAAACCATTATATTACCACGATATTTTTTTGTTTTATCACTAAAATAATATTGGCTATATAAGATTCAAGGCTAACCGAAATCGTTCTTTAACATTATTGCAAGAAAGCTATAATAACAAGTGCACAAAAGACAAGGAAACAATCAATATGTATATTACTTAAGTGCACAATTACTAATTGCGAAGTAACGAATTATTCACAAAAATTCCCCAAAAAAAGAGTATCTAAAAGATTTTGTGTAGTAATACGATTAAATGTATCTAAGCATACTACACTTTTAGTAGCTGAATACTAGTTGCTGACTGAATAATTTATGCGAGTGGAAGATAGTTTGCTAGGCGATCATGTTTACGGCGTGCGAACTGCGCGGCAGACGGTGGCAGCGTGCCGTCGGGAAGTAATTAGCCAATGATACATAGCCGTCGTTGCACCAAGGCTGCGCATGCGATGGACCTGGTTACAGACACACTGGCAAATCTGTCAAATAACGCTTTAAGCTTGCTATTAAAAGGTATTAAAAATGTAACAAAAATAATAAAGATTCAAAGCGGCAGGAAAATAATACGGCACATTAGACCCCTACAGGATTCAACTTTTATAATAGGAAAATTAATTTTGTTCGAAGATAATTTCGCTAAAAACACTGTTACAACCCGAGAACACGCGTTACGGATTCGAATAAATGTAACGTTTCAAATCTTTCGTAGGTGATAGATACCACGAGATACTACGAGTATGCGTAATAGTTGTAATGTATTAGCGTTAGATACTTAACAGTTTCTTAATTGGATGAGCTGACATTGCAACTGTTGTATTTACAAACCGCCTTTAAAAAAGGCGAAGGTTCTCAATTCGGCTGTAATTTTTTTGTGTATGTTACGCGATTTACCTTTGACATTTGTGATCTGATTGCGATGATTCAGTAGTAGATCCATTCAAATTTGAAGAAAATATTTCCCCTCTAATGGTAATGGTAATGGTAATGGCAAATTAGAAGATGAATCCGGTTTATTGTATTTCACCCACTTTCCATCACCCATTTCAATAAAACTTGGCAAAGAGATGCATTTCCACAAACCTTTAAAGGTGGGTTTTTTAAAGTTATATTTATTTGATTACCTCTACGGTTAGACCAAATAAAATCAACTAATTCACTAAATAGTCCGAAACATGTCTGATACTTTCTTAAAAAAGC